AGAGAGAATCCTCCAGCTTGGCTCCCGTCGCCGATGTAGATGTAGTATGGAGACGCCTGCACACCTCTCGGGCCATGGCACTCTGCCAGGCCTGCACACCTTTTATATACCTTTAAACTTTGGAAAGCGGTAGCCTTGTTGTTGCTGTTGTTGTGTTGTCTTCCTCCACAGACGGGGAATACGCATAAGAGAAAGAAAGATATGTGCTTGCAGCTTTCCCCTGCACTTTTGTCGTGATGAACCTGTATTTGTAAATTTCTGCAGCCGCTTTGCAGCTCAAGAGCCTCTTGTGTGTGGTTGCCGGCCTGCCGGTCACAAGAGGCCGGCGGGAAGGGATCGAAAGGAGAGAAAGAGAGAGAGAGAGAGACATAGTTGAACTGTACATGTTTGCACACACGCGCACACACACACACATGTATGCAAACATACGACATGGTCATGTAAACATAAACAAATATTTTATGTAAAAAATATATATATATACATAGATGGCATCTGCGGGATGCCTTCCCTGATCTCTCGCCTGCGGGGCGAAGGTGCCTCACATCTGCGAGATGTGCACCTCACGATGCTGTGTCGCCTGCGGGGCGCACGTGAATCACATCTGCGAGATGTGTGCCTTTGCTCGCCTGCGCGGCAGCCAGGGAGGGCCAAGGTTGCCTGCGCGGCAACAGGTCCTGGGCATCTGCGCGATGCCGAGGACGAGGACGTTGGCATGACCTGCGTGGTCACATGCCACGGCATCCTAGCGATGCTTCCTTGAACGCAGCATCTGCGCGATGCTGTAAACAAATAAAAAATACAAATATATATATATATATATATTTATTTATACTTAATTTAATATTTATATATCCAATTTTGACACACACTCTCACACACTAGCACAACATGGTTTCCAACACACGTGCAACTGTCTGTCTATAGCCTGCACCAGGTGCACGATGGTGACAAAGTTCACGAAGGAGAAGGACAAGGATCGAGAAAAAACGAGCCCGAGCGGCAGCTCGGACAGTTCTGAAAGTGGGAAGACTGAGAAGCCCGAGGCTGCGAGGCGAGACAAAGACAAGTCTAGCGACGTGGAGGAGGTGCCGTCGGCAAAGGAAAGCAAGCGCCGGGAGCGGCAGGAGCGCCGTGACCGCAAGGAGCGCTGCGAGCGCGAGGAGCGCCGTGCTCGCAGCGAGCCTCGGAAGGAGCGCCGCGAACGGGAGGAGCGACGTGATCGCAGCCGGTCACATCGCAAGCAGCGCCGTGGGCGCTCGCCGGAGCTTCGTGCGGAGCCTGCGGACAACCGCAAGCCGGCGCATCCAAAGGGGGCGCCGAAGGATCGTGGCGGCAGCAAGGAGGGCAGCAAAAGCAAAGAGCGGTGCCCTATCTGCTGGCAGCCGGTGAGTGTTCACCAGTCCGGTAAGGACCAGCACATGTGGAGTAACTTGGTATGCCTCACGTGGCAGATGCACGCAGCCCAGAAGCCACACCAGAAGGACTGGTCCTTGGCTAAACGCCAGGCCCAGGAGCTCAAAGAGCACCGCATGAAGAAGACTGCAGAGCCGGGGGCCGTTTTGGTGTCCCAGGCGACGCGACAGGCAGCTCAGAAAGCTCAGGACAGTGCAGCTGCCTTCCTTCGCGGAAAAAGCATGGCCTCCCGAGAGGAGCGCACGCGGAGCGGCTCCTGCAGCCCGGCCAAGCGCCCGACAAGGAAAGGCCTGCGCCGGCACTCTCCGAGTCCTTCGCCCCCGCGGCCGCCGAAGGAGCCGCGACGCTCCCCAAGCCAGTCCAGCTCCTCCAGGCCGCGACGCCGCAAGGATCGCAGCGGCCGCAGGGGGCGGCAGATCATCATCAATGTCTCCTGATGATGCCAGCATGCATTGTAGGATGACGGTGTCCCCGAAAAACAAACCGAAGCAGCTGAAGCCCTAGCCGTAAACACAAAACCGCTTCAAGCCCACAACCGTGAAACCGTATAAAACTCCTAAGCCTTATGAACCCCTCTATAGACCCTAAACCCTAAACCCCTCTAACCTCTTAACCCTATATATATTTTTAAGTATTTAAAACCCCAAACCCGATACAGCCTTATATAACTCACTATATACCTTTTTATAACCTCAGCGACCTTCATAAGGACCTGAAGCTCTCTTGCAGACGCCGTCGCCTTCAGCGAAATGCAAGTTGTACAGTCCCTTGACGTGTATAGTGAACTGAAATCAGACTGCTCCAAGGCCCGAAAAAAACAACTGCCGCCGGCTCTGAAGTGCCTGTCCGCTCTCCTTCTTGCAGTGCAGCCAACCCCCTAAACCCTTAACCTATAAACCCTAAACCGTCTATTCGTGGTTCAACAGCAAACACGCGAATGCATATAACTAGTGTCAGCAGACGCAAAAAAAATGCCCTCCCGGACTCCAAGCAAACGTGCACGACTTCAATCTGGGAAGTTCGCTTTGAAGAGCTGGTTTAGCGGTGTGCGGAAGTCGATGCTTCTGCTGAGAGCCCGAATGGGGCTTTTCCTCCTCAGGAAGTTTCGACATGCCTATCGTCACTACAAGACGAAGCACCAACGTGCACGAAGCTTGAAGCGGCCCAGGGAAGAAGTGGTGAGGTATCGCAGGAAACGGTACTGCTGCAGGCAGGCTGTCGTTTTGGCCCGAACGGGCCTGAGAGGCACCTCGGCTTTGCTGCGACAACTGGAGTGAAGTCCGAAGCGACTTGCAGTCTTGACTCCACCTAAAATACAGCTTCTGTTGCCCTGCCACCGGACAAAAAAACTGCAATTCGGCTCGAAGCCTGTGTCCGCCAGGTGTCCGCCTGTGTCCGCCGGCAATCAGACTCCAGATTTGGGTGTCCGCCGAACGTGTCCGCCGCAACCCTAAATAGCCGTGTCTGGGTAGTTCTCCGTGTCCGCCTGTGTCCGCCGGCATAAAACAATAGCCCTCTCTAAGGGACCACATGTCCGCCGGTGTCCGCCGCCCCACCTATATACCTTCCGCGGTCAGCCGGTCATGTGTCCGCCGGGGATTGTGCCGATTGGCTTCGATTTGCTGCTTTGTCGCAGTCGCCGCTCTTCCTGCAGCAGCGTTCTTTGTTCAAGCCCTGCCTCCTGTTTCTTTCCTCCTTGTGCTCCTGCCGAGCCATGGCTCTGCAGCTTCCAGAACAGGCCGTCTGCAAGTACTGCAGCCTCCAGTACCCCAGCACAGAAGGCCGCTGGCACCGGCAAGTCTTCGAATGCCGCCATTGTGGGGCCTCTCTGAAGGCCCTGTATCGCAACCTTGGTGGCCTGCCCGAAGACTTCAAGCAGATGTCTTCTGAAGAGACTACGAAGTTCTTCGCTGACCTGGCTCTGCAGCGAAACGAGCTCGCTAAGGACAAGGCCTGCGCCTGGAC